CCGTTACAGCCCCTCCCGGTACAGCCCCTCCCGGTACAGCCCACCCGGCCCGGTACAGCCCCCCAGGGCACCATCCCCTCTCCCCAAGCCGGTAAGAGCAGCTCCCTCTCCAACCCCCTCCCCGATTCCAGCCTCCCGGGAACAGCCCCCCTCCCCGGCACAGCCCCTCCGGTGCCCCCTCCCCTTGTTGAGCTGCACTGGGGAAGGACGGTGGGGACTTGGGGGGGCTGGCAGGGGGAGCAGCTGGTGTTTGGGGGGCGAATTTGGTTCTCATCCCCTCCAGGCTCCACTCCAATATTAGCAGCCCCTCCAGTGCGAGACACTGCAAAGGGGGCCCCATTAGATGCCCCCCCCAGCTGCTCCTCCCCTCCCAAATCCTCCCTTCTTCCTGAGGGAGGGAATGGGGGGCATCTTCCTCTTCCTCTCAAGAGGGCGTTGGGGGCTCCTATTTGGGGGGGCAGTTTTATCCCCCTCTTTAGAGGTGTCCTCTGCCCCAAAGCTGGGGGGACCCCAAATAAGGGACATGCACAGGAGGATCTGGGTCCTGCCCTGTCCCCCAGCCCCTCTCTCTCCTCAGGAGACCCCAAATCTCCCACCCCATGGGGTGGTGGGGAGCGGTCGGAATTACCCCCCGCTCCCCCCAGCATCCTGGCAGGGGGAGGGGTGATGCCTCCATTCCAGACCACATACTGGGGGATGAAGGACAGAAACAGACCCTGTCCCCTGTCCCCCAGCCCCGTGTCCCCCAGGTCCCCTCTCCTCTGACCGCCCCCTCTCCCCCCAGCCCTGTCTCACCATGTCGGTCTCCAAGCTGCAGGACGTGGATGAGGTTTTTGGTGAGTTGCTGCAAGGGGACCCCCCCCCTCCTTGTGGGGGCTCAGCCCTGCCTGTCCCTCCAAGTGTCCCTACCTGCTAGTGATGAGGTGAGATGGAAACTGAGGCTAGCAGGGGCATGGGGACATGGGGACATGGACGTGGGACACATGGAAGGACGTTCAGACACAAGGGGTGTGCGGGGGACAGGGCATGGGGACACCTATGGGACACATGGACACTTGGTCATGGGCACACGGCTGTGCATAGGGACACGCACAGGGCCACCCAGACATGGAGACACACACAGGGACATGCTGTGTCCCAATGGGGCCACACGAATGGTCAAGGCTGGAGCACTCAGAGGCTGCAGAGTCCATTGGGGCAGCGGGTGCTGTGAGGACACAGGGACAAACCCCTTAGTGCGGGGCTGGGACACACTGGGGCGACCCCGGTGAGAGCCTGGGCACGGGTAGACCTGGGACAGGCACAGGTGATGGGGACAGGCGCGAGTGACAGGGACACGCTGTCCCCAGGGCCGCCAACGTGAACGAGCCGGCCCCTCTCCCGGCCCTGCTCGTGGCCAGGGCGGCCGGCGCCGCGGGCAGCGGGTGCCAGGCATCTCTTTCACTGCTTCTCTCTGTTCCTCTGTCCCCTGTCCGCTTCCACCGGGACCCTCCCTTCTCCCCAATTCTCCCCTATCCTCTCCCCGCTGGGACCCCCTGTCCGTGCCCTGATGCTCTCACCCTGTCTCCATGTCCCTCTGCCTGTCTCTCCTCTCCACTGGGCCTTCCCTCTGCGTCCGTCTGTCCGTCCATCCCTCCCATCTCCACTATCCTCCCCTCCGTCTGCCCATCCACCTCCCGCTCTCCCATCCACCTCCTCCTCCCTGTCTGTGCATCCCTCCCTCCGCTCCCCTTGTCCCTCTGTCCCCATGTACCCCTGGATTTGTCCATCCTCCTCACCCGCCTGCCCCTCCATGCCCGTTCCCCCCCATCCGTCTGTCCGCCTGTCTCTCTCTCTCTGCCCCGGTCTCTCTTTCACCCCCAGATTTTACCGCTGTGGTTCCAC